AATTTTTTTAGTTTTGGATGACCACTTTGAGTTAGATAACATGATACTCCATCCCTTCAAATCTTAATTACTCTTTTTCTTGTTTTCGTTACTTATTTGATAAAATAATATAGAACTCCGTAATATCATCTATGGTTTTGTAGAACATTTGATACATTTTTAAAAATGTAATTTTTTCATTCCATGCCAATTTTCAAAAGTGTGGAAGAAATATATGACAATAATTCTTTGATAGAATTACGTGTTTTTTTTGAAAATTTTCAATTAATTATAGTATATTTTATTTTATTATACGACTTTATGATACATTGTACTAATTACAATAACGACTTGGTGTGTTTCTAAATACATAAACAAAAATTATAACAATATTATAAAATTTGTTAAATAAGTATTTCCCTTAAAAAAATAAGTATTAATTAGTATAATTGAATCCTCAAAAATATAAATCTTGTTAAATAGTTAATATAAATATTAATGATGAAAGGGATGATGAAAACGAGGTATTTGTAATTGAAAGGGCAAAATTGTCAATCTTTTAAAAAATAAAAAAAGTGGAGTGCAACTAGTAAAATATTGAGTGTAGATATCAATTGTCTAATATTATCATCCTATTCTTAAAAGCATGAGAATTATGCACCATCCTTTTTTTGCCCAAACGCTATTATTTATGAACCATCGATTTTGATCTACATTTTTAATCTACGGTAATTATAATTAAGCAACATACAAATATGGCTTTATTTCATTTCTATAAAAGGAAAATACCTTATAAGATTCATGTGTAATTTAATACGGTGTATATAAATAATATGATTTTATAAAAGCAAAGCATTGTATATATAAATGATACGGTTTTAACTATTTAAAAAAAGAAATTAACTTTATAAAATCTGTACATACTTAATGCCTGAAAATTGAAGGAGATTTTTTATGCATGAAAAAACATATTTAACATATTAAGAAAAGAAAGAATTGCCAAAAAAAGAAATCATAGAATTTTGGAAGTTATTAGCATATTAAACCAAAAGGCCCCTTCTCGAATCATTTTTTATTTGTCGGGTTCGGGTTTGGTCACCTTGGGTTCGAGTTACTTCGAGTTCGGATAAGTTCGGGTTTGGGTTAACTACATGTTCTTGACCTAGTGTCATGGGGTTCGTTCAGGTTGACCCAACAGATTATGAGTTTTATTAATTTTTTTGAAATTTTAAATAATTTCTATGACATAGTGTCAATATTACGAATAACAAAATTAAATATGTAGAAATTTTGAAAAAATGTAAGATAGTTATGCGACATCATTAAAATTTGTTAGGATGGTATAAATATATACACAAAAAATGAGTAGTAAGCAAAGAAGTATGATTATAATCTTATTTTTATAACCCTATATTTCATATTAAAATGTATGATTCTAAAAAAAATATTAGATTAGCGGGTCGGTCTGGTCGGGTTTGGGTTCGGTCGGGTTGACCCATTTTTAGTGGGTCATTTCGAGTTCAGTCAACTTCGGGTTCGGTCAGTAAAACCTTTGTTCAAAACCCAGTATTTTCGGGTCGCATCTTGAGTCAAAAACAGGTCGCGTCATTTTTTGTTAGGTCTAATGTCGAGTATTGGGCGATGTTAAAAAAATTAACTTCTTGAAACTTTTTTTCTTTATTATACGCGTAATTAATTTTTTAGTGTGCCGGAAAATAAAAAAATTGCAAGAATTTTATAACCGTGAGTATTTTTGTGCTTAATAATGAAAGTTTTAAAATTTTAATCTTATGTATTTTATTTGCACCATGTTAATTGCATGCGCATTAAAGTTATTAATAAAATTCAAGAATTCCTCCTTTTTTAAAATCTTTCCTCTTTTTATTTATATGCTTTAAAAGGTTATGAAATAGGCGATTCAAGAAAAATAAATCTAACCTCCATTGATTTTTAATAAAAATAAAAATATCAAAATTCAATCATTCATTCTTTTTAATTCTTTTTTTAAAACACTCGCTATTTTAATATTTTAAACCATATTTAAGAAGTCACTTGGGCGGGAAAACGATGGGTACATGTTTCCCCTTTTTTTCATAATAGGAAGATGTGGTGGAGATAATTTATGTATTACAATTGAAAAACATTATATTTCATTATATGGGGTACTTATTTACTTTTTTAATAATACCAATATAAATTTATAACGTTAATAGAAACCGTGCAACGCACGAGGTGTGATACTAGTTGATTTAAGATTATCACACCAATTCAATTGGAATATTGTAAAATCAATGTTCATATTCCTTAATTTCTCAATAAACAACTCAATCTGACCCCTCCCTAGTGGACCATGTATCCCCTCCAATTGAATGACAAAATTTTTTGTTGAATTTGGAGTTAAAATTTAACCAAAATTCAAATGGTAAAATTGAAGGGGATGTAGAATTGCGTTAAGGACTTGTCCGACTAAGGGGTTTCTGGAGGTTAGAAGTAGAAAGAATTAATTCTATAATCAGAACACTGTACGTGTTTTAATTAAATTGGTATAATAATCTCATAAAACGTAAAAGAGAAATGTGTGGTTAAAATTTATTTAAAAATAGAAAAATGACAAGTGTTACATATTTTTTTAGTACAAATGTGTGATGTGTTTTTGTGTAATATTTATTTATTTTGCGAGAAATATAAAAGTTTCTTAGAGCATCTCCAACCCGAAGGGTATCAAAGAGGATAAAAGCTCATAACTACCATTTTTACCTTTTTCGTAAAAACTATACTTCACGGGAGAGTGTAATGAGAGGACAAAATATCTTCTTCAATTTCAGCCCTTTAACAATTAGAACTGGCGGGAAGGGGTAGGAAGCAATTGGAAAAGAAATTAGTGACGAGACCTGACGGTCTAGGGAATCAAAACATTTGGAGTTGTTCTTAGCATAGGAAGGAGTTTTCTCAAGCATTCAAATATTTTCTCTTCTCTTAAACAACAACAACAACTCAGTTAAATCCCACAAGAGTAGGGTCTGGGGAGGGTGTGTGTACGCAGACCTTGCCCCTACTCGAAAGTAGAGAAGCTGTTTCCAAAGAGACCCCCGGCTCAACATCGAAAGTTGCAGTGTTTGACTAAATGCTACTTCATTAATTAAAGAAGCAATAGTTTAGAGATCTATTTTGATTTATTCCATCACACCACAAAGCTAAAAATGGTAAAATTTTGACTCCATCGGAGATGATGGAAATTTCTCCTTCTCTTAAATTGACCATAATCATATTCTTTCATTTTCTTAACTTTTGTGCCCAGTCAACTTTGGAAAAACCCCTTTTCATCCTTTTCACAAGTACCTACACGGCGTGACAACTCTTTTTACAAGTATCTCCAAAAGTGTTGCAGATTATCACACAATGAAAGTTGGAAGAAGAGTTCTCTCAGATGATAAGCATGCTCAGTTGCCCCTCATTATCAGTGGGGGGTTAAAGACAAGCAATAATGACTAATAAGATTCATTGGCTAGTTTATGAGATGGAGAAGAAGCATTAATCTTGATTGGAACATGAGACTTTAGAATAGCTCTTTGGTTCAGCCAGAGGACTAGTCTTACCTGCATGCCGTAACAAGTCCTCCCATTATTCCGAGAGATGTCAATCTTATCTCGACATTAAAACTCAAATCAACGTCAAAAACCATTCGTGCATGTTAATCAACATGTCTTCATCAAGTCTAATCACCCAAAAAAACGTCATTCTGAATATGCTGCAGGCCACCCGTATCCTTACAAGAATGTGTTCCGATCCATGAGAGGATTGAGAGCCAAGAAAACTTACAAGCAGTAATGCTTGAAATCTTCCCATGTCTTCACTATGTCAACAAGCCGTCACTTTGATTGATTACGACACGTTTGCATTAGCTAAAGAGCTGCTGACCACAACGCCCTTTGGTGCTCGCATACAGTGCGGGCCCAACATAACAACAAAAGAATCATTGGTTCTGAGATGTGGCTGCACTAACTCCCATATCTTTTTCTTCTGAACCTGCAAAGGAATGAGCAGTGACACTAACTTTGTTGTATTTAACAGCTGAATAAAAAGCTTAACCTAAACAACAGCTTTCTCACACAGGCGACACAAATTCCTAGCAACGGCTGATTTGTTGGCGCATCAACTATATTTCCAATGTCAAACCAATCACAGTTTCTTAACTCATGGTAATTAACACTATGTTTGGTTCAAGAAATTTGAGAGGGAAAAGAAAAGAAAATTAAGTCGAAAACAGTTTTTCTTGTTTGGTTAGACAGGAAAAGAAAGGAAAAGTGGAAGGAAAAGAAAATAAGAAGGCAAAATTTACCAAGTGGAAGAAAAACCAAATTCCTCCCATTTTGGTGAGGAAAATGAGAGAAAAACTATTTTCTTTTCTTTTCCTCCCAAATTCTTTGAACCAAACATAGTGTAAATGAAACAATCATTTCTTTCCATTTTCACAATAATCACAGACACCCATTAGCGGCAATACGAAAGGTGTGCAGACAAGGAACTAGTGTGTATGAACAAGAAAAGGTTGGTAGAGTTTGACTGTAGCTTGTTTTAGTTTAGTGTTAGACATGTAATGGACCTCACGTCATACATATATATATTGGGGCATGTACCCACCTACCCGACCTGTTTATACAAAGAAGAAACACATCATGTCCTCATTCATAATATTCATATGCTGTCATCCTGCAGAAGGATTCTCTTAATCTTTACTTAATTTATTTTTTGATAAAGAATTTCTGATCACAAAATATACATGAATTCAAAAAATGATGCTCCGTATATTTCAGATTTCCTCAAATACCATATTTTGCAAGAGGGTTTGCTGTTGTGCTCCAATATCCTGAGCCAACCGTGTCTCACAAAACGCTCTCTCTCTACTTTACGGGTAGGGGTAAGGTATTGGATTTTTACTGGTCTGTTGTTGTTGCAAGAAGCAAGAGCAAGGTTTCTGAGATCAGTGTTATGTGTACTTTCATTTTGCAGCGGTACAATAAGCAACATACATCGCAAGGAGCATGTGCCACCCTCAGTCAAAGAAGTTGGATGCAACCCAAGTCTTGGGAATCGACTCTGTAGTTTCCTATAATCATTAGTACTCCATCCGTCCAAAATTTGATTACAAATTGGGATTTACGAGGCAAAATCTTTCATCTTTTGAAATCATTTTAATAACAAATTGGTATATCGATAAAAAATAGAAATAACCTATTAAAAAACTATGTTAAAAGTTCTACAAAACAAGAGGTGACAAGAATATTTTATTTTATCAAATAATCAATGAAAACACACAAATAAACAAAAGTTATCGATTGAAGAGAAAAAAAATTGTAATCAAAATTGAGACGGAGAGAGTATTAGCTTTAGCTATCTTTCCTCAGAAGAGTTGAACTACGTTCCGTAATAAATTTTGTATGTTGCCTTTGTTAAAATTTGTTGCGGAGTATGGCGATCTAAAGCTTCATATCAGTTATCATGAGGTGAAGCCCGTCAGGGCAACTTGTTTTTTAAAAGGCGGCTGATAGTGGTCAAGCATGTTTGGTTGTATACAAGACTGAATGAGAAAAAAGAACCTGGACTTTGACATCTGATAAAGGGTCAGATGGAAGGGTAGGTCACTTACTAATTTTCTGGTCAATAGTCCATAAATGAGCCATTGGAGATTTGGCCCACAATCGCCAGATATCTGACTGTGGCAACCAATATTCCCATAACAACGCCATTTCTGTGCCATCACCATTTGTGCACCATTTTTTTTGGCCGAAGGTTTTCCTGTCCAATATATTTGGACCCAATCCAAAAAAACCCTCCTTTTATTCCCGGTCTTTAGTTGCTCTCCAGTCGAACATAGTATTTAGGGGATAAAAACAATATCACTCGTATTTTAATATTTTGAATTTTGATGGCATTTTACTTCTATCTACGGGCATTCCTTTTAAGTCTACTCTCATTTAAAGGTTCAAGAAATTTAAATGCCAACAATGTTAGGAAAAGGTCAAACAAATTTAGCAATGACTTTGATAGTCTACAGTCTACACTTTGGATTCATAGGGTTGTACTCCCTCCGTCCTAAAATTAACTTCCCACTTTCCTTTTTGGGTTGTCCTAAAACTAACTTCCCGTTTCCCTAAATGGCAACTAAACCAAGAGTAATTGTCTCTTTTGCCCTTTAGAATTTTACTCTCCCCCATTTCTCTTTTCTTCATCCTCAAACTCTCTATGGTCTCTTCATCCTCTTCTATAATTTCTTCTCATCTTCATCATCTCCTTCTCTCATCTTCTCTTGCATGTGTGTGGCGGGGCTTCATCTTCTCTTTGATTTTCTTCTCGTCTTCATCTTCTATTTTCTTCTTCTACTCTTCTTCTCTCCCCTCTGTGGTGGAGCACAAGCACACCTGGGGTGGGGCGGGCCAACAGATCCGGCAAGGACGACAATAGATCTAGCAAGGAGGGTAGCAAATCTAACAAGGAGGGCAGCAGATCTGTTTTCTCTATGGCTCTTCATCTTCCTCTTTTGTTGGCCCGATATGGTGAAAGTATATGAGGCGATGATTTGAGCTTTTTTGTTGATTGACAATTTCCGAAGCTCCGGCGAGCAAAGTCTCTATTGCAGATCTTGAATGCTGAGCGTTGACGACAATTTTGATTTCTTATTTTAGATTTTATTTGAGATTCATGTTTCTTTTAGAATGTGATTTTATTGTTGTAATTGCTTTTAAAATTCATTTTAGATTTTTTGTTTCTTTCATTATGTGATTTCATGATTATAGGACTAAATTTTTGTGGATGAATATGTGAGACACCAGATAATTTAATCCAAGGTGTCTCTGTTCATAGTAAATCCGAGAAGACATTGTTCGGTTGAGTAGCAGTAGAGGGTATTTTGGGAAAGTCAAAACATTTTTTCCACTTTCTTAAAAATGAGCTCCGTTCAAACCGGGAAGTTAATTATAGGACGGAGGGAGTACTAGTTAGTATATATGAAGATTTAGAGTGACAATAATACAATTGTTATTGAGGAAAGTTTTTGTGTGTATCTCGGAAAAGTGAGAACTGCATATGAAACTATTGAATGAGGTTGGGATGTGATTGAGCACGGTTTCCCTCAAGCCCCAGGTGTGAATGATCCTTTTGAGAATGAACTCTTAGCATGTGGAACTAACTTGAGATTGTTACAGGATAGGAAGTGGACACTACTCAAGAGAAAAGGCAGCAATGAAACATCTGACTGATTTCACAAATCCATTTCTTACCAAGTCCATCCAAAGATCTAAATTTTACATCAAGAAAGTACCTGATTGGGTGTTGCAGCCTCGGGTAAGGTGTCTTTTTCATCATCTGAACCAAACCACACCCTTTCACCCGGAACAGAACCCTCAGGTGGCATGAGAAGCTCGACATTATGATGCAGCGCACAAGAAGCTGCCATAAGCATCCCAGAAGACTTAACACCACGCATATTTCTTGGCTTCAAATTAGCAAGGACAATCACGTACTTGTCCTGCATGATTTAGTCCATGCATTATAACCCAAATTAGATAAGAACCACAATGAATCTTAAATTTAAACCAAGAACTGAAAAAGTGAAAAGATGCTCAAAAAGAAAAGAAGCTGGTGGTGATATTGGTGAAACTATGTTCCTCAATGTTTAATTTAGGGTACACTTTTGGAGGTACTCTGATTACAAGAACCTCAGAAAACCAAATTCAATTTTTCGACAGCTTCGGAAGCTCCAACATAATTTCCTGAGAGAAACACTAATGTTACCTGAAACCTAGTTTTGGAGAACCTCTTGGGGGTTCTGAGGCTTGGGTTCTACTCATAACTGAATTAGATAATCTCCACCCACACAATCCTTTATCTCATACAGCTTGGTTCACCTGTTTTCGCAGTTTTTACTCAACCAGTTTCAACATTTTACTTACGTTCACAGCAACTAAGAAGAGCCTCATCAAAGTCTCAAGATGAGGAACTATAAGAAAAATGAAAATCTGGGAATTTCAGATAATGACATCCAAAAAAATTCAAAAGTTATAGGAATGAAGAGGCAAAGACCTGAAGGTGTTGGAGCGGGATATAGTCAACAAGGCCGCTGCAGATAGTTCTAGGTTCGGGCTCGCCCATATCGACCTCTTCTACATAAAGGGAATCGGCCTCCCCGTGTTTCCAGGCCCTGAGGATTTTCCCAACCCTAATGTCCAGTGTGTTCGCCGCGTCCTTGAGCTCCGCCGTAACCTGATTACGAGAAGACGAATCTCCCGAACCGGAATCGCCCGCAGGGTTATCAGGATCAAGATTACCGTCGTCTTTGGCGGAAGAAGAGTCGGCGGTGGCGCTGCAGGAAAACTCGGAGAGCAATCCTCCGTCTCCTCGTCCGTATAATGGGAGCGGAGCGGCCATTTTCCGGCGACTCAATTCACAGTATTGGAGAGAAGTGGACGGATGGGATAGCGAGTGCTGCCGGCGGCAGGGACTAGCGTTCTTGATGGTGATACTGTAGGGTAAATGGTTGAAAATGGGAGAGAGGAGAGGGCGAGAGGAGAAAAGAAGGAAGGTGCTTCTCCCCTTCAGCACAGTATTTGCTCCCACCATTGCAACTTTGCAAGTACTGTTTTGTGACTGTGACACGAACACTTGTGCACCATTGTTCTTTGTGGTATACAAATCGAATACAAATGTTGGTGTAGTTAATACTCCTTATTTTATAAATTCTGAAAATGGTTAGTATTTTCTCAATTCAATCCTCAATAAGTTTTAATTATCTATATGGTCCTCTATAATTGAGATCTATTTTCAAGATAGTCTTTCGTAAATAATGTGACTCAAATGGTGATTAAATGAGAGATATTTTAATATTTTGATCATCCAAATTTAAAGTATATATATTCTCAAAACAATCATTTCTACACAACTAAATGTAAAATTTAAAAAACACATTTACTATAAATAATTAATGAATTATTTAAAACTTAGAAAAAATCTTTTAAATTTCAAATCAAATACATATCTTTAATTAGAAAAACCATTTTGGGAAAAGACTTCATTATAAATGATCATTTTAAGAACTAATTCTAAATTTAGCGGATAAAAAATACCCAAATATCCTCAATTAATCCCCATTTGAGTAGCATTATTTACGAAGGACTATCTTGGTAATTAATCTTAATTATAGAGGACCACGTAGGTAATTAAAACTTATTGAGAACTGATTTGGGAAAAAATACTTTATTTTAAATATGAGTTGATTGTACCAATACTCTCTATAGTTAGTAAATGTTCACCTTTATTTTTCATCTTTTCAAAACTTTTGTCGTTGTCTCTCATAATTCTAATATTGCTATGTCAATGTCTCTCTGGATAAAAATATCTTTCAAATATTAAGTGAATAACTCTGCTACCCCCTATGGTTTTGGAAATGGCAGTCAACGTCTCCTCCACTTTTTCTTTATTGTTTTTCTTCTTTCTTTTCTTTTTTCATAAAAAGAAAAATAATGTTTGTATGTGAAACAGAAAATGAGAAATGAAAATGAACCAATTCGTATAAAATTAATGAACGGAAAATGAGAAATGAGCTTTAATGGAAAAAATAGAATATTTCATTGATTTTCATATATTGAAAATGAACCAATAAAGACTTCTTTTGGACAAAAAATGAAAATGTTTAATTTGAGACAAAAAAAAGTACATGTTCATTCTTGTTATTTAATACTCCCTCCGTCCCATGAAATATGTGATGTTTTGCTTTTTGAAGAGATTTAAGGGAGTGTATTTTGGTATTGAATTTCTAAAAATGTCCTTTGATGTGATGGGTAAAAGTAGGATTTGATAGGTAGATTATCAGTAAAAAGGTATGATGTGATAGGTAGGGTATGAAAAAGTAAGGGGTAAAAGTGACTTTTTAATAGAAATGAGAAGTGTTTTATGGGACGGATGAAAAAAGAAAGTATAAAGGTTTTATGGGACGGAGGGAGTAGATTTTTATTGCAAACAAATAAAACTTTTATTATTAAGACCTTATAAAAAATAATTTTGAAAAAGAAATTGAAAACATTTATGAAAAATTAAAGTTGCATAAAAAAGAAAAATAATAAAGAAAAGAGTGGTGTTTGTACAAATTTTTAAAACCATAGGGGGGTAATAGAGCTATTCACATAATATTTGAAGGATATTTTAGTCCATAGGAGCATTGGCGTAACAATACCAGAAGCATAATAGACAACAACGTAAGTTTTGAAATCATATGGAATAACCGTGTACATTACCAAATCACAGGGAGTCATGATGCAATAAACTCTTTAAAATATTTAAAAGGAGTTGACTATGGTAAGATTTGTCCAAAATATCCTTACTAAAAATGTTTAAATATTAAAACAAAAAGATTAAATCTGGAGGTAAAAAAAAGATACGGAGTAGTATTTTTTGTCCAAACATACGTATATATGAATAATAAAGCCAAACGGAGGGAGTGCGGCCCACGAATATCCATATCACCGGATGACTAAAAGTGACCCTGAATCAAAATGGATGATGGATGGACGGAGTGATGGATAGGCTTGTGAACCTTCATCACGAAGAAGGCAATGGCACCCGACAGCTACTAGGCTTGCAGCCATCTCTTCTCGTGTCTTAGTGACCAACTCCCTAGCTACAAGCTCATGTAAGATTGGATTGTTTCATGAAAAATGATAGGGATACACTAAAAGTGTACCCCAAACATCTCCACCCCCTCCATCACCACACAAAAAAGACAAAAAAATTCAAAAAAAAGTAAAAACTAAAAATAAAATAAAATGAATGGTAGAGAGGGAGGGTGGTGTACATTTGGGGTACACCTTTGGTGTACCCCTAACATATCCCTTGTTTCATTTATATGTTTTCCAATTGCTAGATTGTGTATTATATCACTAATTTGAGAAACGTTTTAAAGGCAAAAAATGCATTTAATATTGTCCACCATTATATAATACGGAATACTATTTTTGTCTCAGTGTATTTGTCTAGTTTAACCTTTTGAATCAAACTAAACAAATTTTGGACTTAAATTAAACAAACACGATAATATACTACTTAAATTATGGACTTAAATTATGCAATACTACTTATGTCTCAAATTAAATTGTATGTTTATTGTTCACATGGTCAAACTTTATTCACTTACTTTTACTATTTTCGTTAGTCATTTGATAAAATAATATAGTTATGTCACTACTAGTTTTGTAGATCTTTTGGTGTAGTTTTTTTATTTTTTTAATTCTACACCATTTTTCATATAAAATAATTAAGAAATTACTTCAGTCAAACATCGTACATCGAAATAGATAATTTAAGTTTGGACGGAGGGTGTAATGTTACACCATTTCAAATGGTGTAACATCGTGCCACCAGTGGTTTTAGGGCACATATGGTGTTACGTTCGTAAAATTGATGATTTTACCCCACTAACACACCCACTAAACCCCCCGGACCCATCAATTTCGCCCTGCCTCCACCCCAACCTCCTCCCCCTAGATCGCTGATTTGGGACCCCAAATCAGGGATCTAAGGGAGATGCAGGGGCGCGTGGTGAAATTGATGGATTCGGGGGTTTAGGGAATAGGCTAGGACTTAGAAGATAGGAATAATCAATTTTACGAACGAAACACCGTAGGTGCACCAAAACTATTGGTGTCACGTACTAGTGTCATTTTTGATAATGTAAGAGTTCTCATTAGTATAAACATTATTCAATTTAATCTGTCTTGTTAAAATTTTAAAATTTTATTTCATTGTATTTATTTGCAATATAGATTCATAATATTTAAAAAAAACTATAATTAAATATGTTTTACTGTGTCAGTACTTATTGACTTGTTATTGAAAAACAATTTTTAACTTATAAACTACTTGTAAGCTAAAAATTCTATCGTGAAAGTAAAATAACATAATGATGAATAACTCTTTTGAGAATATTTATAAATACTTTTTTTGGTCAAAACAAAATTTTGAAAAAACTAGCTTAAAAATAAATAGGCAAGAACTACTTATTTTTTTAATATTAGCTAACTAATTTGAGAATATTCATAAGTAGTCAACTTATACACAGAAAAACATGTATCAGCTGCTAACTTACAAGTTAAAGAAAAGCTTATAAATAATTTTAACCAACTTATGAAAGAAACATCCACTTAATTTACCTAACGCCAAATGTGTGAGACCAAAATAAGAATGCCACATGAAAATGGGGTATAGTCAACAACAAATACATAAGTTCCAATAAAAAAGAAGCAAAAGTTTGCACCCCAGGCTCCATTAAAGGCATGGTTGGCCACCATAAAGAAGAAGCCTGCTCAAATATTTTGCGCACAACTCTTGAGATTTATCAATTTGGGTGTCAAGCCACTCCAAAACTTATTCTGTGTTCTCAGGTAAAGGAAAAACCCATGAACATCAATAGAAACCATTACTACTACATTCTAACTTCTATACCTTCCTTGAGCAGGTGCTTTTTCACAGACTGAATGGGCACCTCGTTCCGGTGGAATATCCCGGCAGCCAGGGCAGCAGAGGCATTTGTCTCTTTGAAAACCTCAGAGAAGTGCTCGGCTGACCCGGCCCCACTGCTTGCAATGACAGGGATACTCACCGCGTCTGATACCAACTTGATGAGGTCAATATCAAAACCTTTTCCCTGCCCATCACAGTCAATGCAGTTCAGAAGTATCTCCCCTGCTCCCAATTCCTCAACAGCTTTTGCAAGCTCAAATGCTCCGATTCCTCGCCCCTCTCGCCCCCCTTTCACTGTGCACTGATACCAGGCATATTCTTCCCCGTTCGGACCCTTTTCCCTCGTTCTGACAGCCGCGAATTCTACATCGTGTGGGTCCCGCACATACACTCTTCTAGGGTCTATACTGACAACCACTGCCTGGTTCCCATAAACTCTTGAGATCTGCTCTATACTGGTTTTCCCAGTTTTGACTCCGGATTTTAAGTATTCTTCTGCAGCATATACCGCATCACTCCCTATAGAGATCTTGTCGGCACCAGACCTGAAATACTCGGCTGCAACTTCTAGGCAAGAGTAATACTTTCCATTTCCATCAGTGAAGTCTTTGATGCCTCCTCCAACGGTTAAAGGCACAAAAACCTTCTCTGATGTCTGCCTCAATACCTGCAACATTGGGAGATCCCCAAGAGGAAAGTCTCGGAAACCAGTGATATTCAAAAAGCTGACCTCATCAGCTCCATCTTTGTAGTACTGTCCGGCAAGTTCTACTGGCTTGCCGAGGTTTCTCACTTCGTTTTCTTCTGTGTGCTCTCTTACATCATACTGGTCGCCTTTAGTCACAACAAGATCTCCTTTATCGTTGCTCCTGACATCAAGACAAGCAATAACTCTCTTTGCAAGTTTACAGGCCTTACCTTGGAATGGCTTCTTTGTTGTTTTGGACCCCGGTTTCAAAAACCTTTCCAAGATAGAAAGGCCAACATCTCCACTCTTCTCAGGGTGAAACTGCACGGCTTGGACGTTTCCCCTCTTGATCGAAGCTATGAAATTGTCACCATACTTGCAAGTAGATGACACCCACTCTCTATTATCATCCGAAGGCATTGCTCGATATGAATGGACAAAATAGACATGTTTGTTTCCAATACCATCCAAGATCTCTGAGTCTTTAGTTATTTCCAGTGCATCCCATCCAATATGAGGTACTCTGATCCCTTCAGATGAATCAAAACGGCCAACTACTCCGGGGATTAAACCAAGACCTTTTACTGGACCATTCTCATCACTTGACTCAAAGAGCAGTTGCAAGCCAAGACAAATGCCCAGAAATGGGCGATCTTGTTCGACATAGGCAGTGAGTGCTTCGGCCATTCCGTTCTTGTTTAGCACATCCATGGCTGCAGCAAAGGCCCCTACTCCGGGGAAAATTAGGCATTTTGCTTTCAATATGTCCTCAGGTGTTTGCACGTCTCTAATATTGAAACCAAGAAACTGAATTGCATTCCTCAAACTCCGCACGTTGCCGGCACCATAATCGAGCAGAGTAACTACCGAATCTCGGTCACTAGAAGATGAGGCGCGAATAGAAAATCTTCTGGGAGCTTTTAATCTGAGACCATTACTGTAAATCTTGTACTGCAGCACCCTATTAGGATAAGGACCGTAGCATGAAACCCACTGTGAACTTCCAAGTGCCAGGGAATGTGAAGCCGAACTAAACTTCACTGCCTCCATATTGCCCTCGCAGCAGGGTCCGTCCTAATACTTTCAGGGTCCTGTGCCATACAAGAATTTTGGGTCCTAAAAATGAGTATAAAAATAATTGAAAGGAAGAAATACCAAACTAGGCCATACATGTTCTTTTTACAAAAAGAGGACTTTCAATGTTTTTATACGAAATAGGATTTATAATGCCAACTAATGCCAATAGATAATGCCAAAAGAACTGTGAAATGCCAACACATAATGCCATTGCAAACATTTCACGGTGCAAAAAATCTTATTTAGGGGATAAAAACATAGGAAGTCCTTAGATTTCTTTTATTGAAACACGGAGTACAAGCTATTGAAAAATATACAGAGAATACTAAATTTTTTAGTCATAATTAGGGCTGTGCACTGGTTCGAAACCGGACAGGAGCCGGTTTGGACCAGAATCACAATTTTACATGGAACGAAGATTGGACCCTATTTGTAGTCGGTCTGGGTGTGTTTTTTTGGTACGCTTTTACCCAGTTTAGACCCTTTTTTTAATCAATACTTAAACACCAATAAAAAAATACCAATAAAGCAATTAAGGATATGAAAACACCAACAAAAAATACCAATTGAGCAAAAAATATATTTTCTTCATTAAAATATAGAACACAATAAGCACTCGAAATAGAGTTTTCATTCTTTGTTGTCCCTGTCAAACAGCTAGCCACAACTTTTGTCTCTCCAAAAGCACTCCAAACACATTACACATATCAATTCAGAGTCAAGTTCACAGATTCATAAATTTTTCACAGACTCAATTACAAGAGGGGAAAAGGTTATTATCAGGAAATTATGAGGTAAATTTTCACGAATCAATTCAAGGTCTTATTATTAGTAAATTGCCAGCGAGGAAAAATTTTCCAATTCAAATCCATAAATTGTCATGAAATTGAATTGATTTTTTCGGATGAAAATACAAAAACACGCTCTTGGAGCAAATCAACAAGAGAGGAAAAGGTTTGAAGTTTGAAACAAAAACCTTGGATGAGAAATGGAGATTCAAACATACCTCTACGGCTCAACATCCATTCTCGACTTAGAGAATACGAAGGCAACCTGTCGGAGCTGTCGGAGACCCGTCGGAGCAGAAGGGCGAGGGCTGCTCCCCAAGTCCCGGGGGCGCGACTTGCGAGCGTGCTCCGTTCGTCAGCCGTTGAAACGGGTGAGGGTCGCAGGTTTCTCAATATCAGAAGTGAAGAGTGAACTGGTAAAAGTGAATGAGCCATTGTGGCATTTGGGCTTTAACTTTACTAGTAATTGAAATATGGAAATTGCATTTGGGCTTTACCAATAAAACATACTTTCCGGTCCAAAGCTTCTTTAACTAGGCCTATCATTGTGTCGGGTATAGATCCGAACCCGTATAATACCCGTAATATTTTAACAGATTTATGAGTATAAAAAATACTTCCTCCGTCTCAGTGTATTTGTCCAGTTTAATTTTTTTAAGTCAAACTAGACAAACTTTTAGCTTTAATTAAATAAAAATCATAATGTATTTTAACATAAAAATGACTTTATTAGATTTATCGTATTGAGGATTTTCAAAATTATATTTCATTATGCTAATATGCAATATAAATTGAAAGTAATTGAACTTTAAAGTTTGTCCAGTTTGACTCAAAAAAATCAAGCTGGGCAAATACACTGGGAGGAGTCTGGGACGGAGGTAGTATCATTTACCCGAACCCGTACTTGTTACGAAGTATTTTTTTTTAAAAAAAATAAAAGATCAGGTATAGGACAAGTAGTTCTGACCCGTTTAAAACTTGTACAAGTTAAATAAATAAATAATATTAAATATTACAAAATCCTACACGTCTTCTTCGTTGGTTGTGTAGCTTCCAAATTTGTTTATATTTATTTCACCACATTAAAGGCATGTACACGTTGGTTTATGCAATAGTATTTTAACATAAAAATAACTTTATTAGATTTATCGTATTGAGGATTTTCAAAATTGTATTTCATTATGCTAATATGCAATATAAATTGAAAGTAATTGAACTTCAAAATTTGTCCAGTTTGAATCAAAAAAATCAAGCTGGACAAATACACTGGGAGGAGTCTGGGACGGAGGTAGTATCATATTATTGAAAGATAATACGAGAATAATAATTAATAGTAATAGAAGCACTGCTCACTGGATAATAACTCAAATCGGCGGTCTTCTCCTTTATTCGGTCCTCTTAGGAACGGAATATGCTTAAGGATTGCCAGAATATCTTTTATTATTTACTCAAGTATTTTTCTCTCCTTCTTACCAGATATCTTAATCCCTCAATCCTTCTCTCTTTTATAGGCGCTCCCAACTGTTATCTCCTACAATAATAGCAGTGATTGGGGAGAACATCCGCGCCAGCCTTGCTCTTTCCAGGGGGGGTGTATCTCCACTTGAGGCCGTCCACTGGAGGACAAACCCTTCCATCCATCTCTTGCCTCCTGTCCTTCCTCCGTCTCTTTCTCCTCGTCTTTGTCCCTTCAAGTGAAAGGGGGGGACTCCCCAAACTTCTCATAGGATTCCTCTCTTTGTGGGTGCCCTTAATGGGCTGGCTCCAGCCCATCCTTAAGCCCCACCTCTCTTCCTTTTCCTATCTTTCTCTACGGACAACCTTCCTGTGACCGGCCCGGTACATTTTACCTGGGCCGGATGCTCCTTTTGATGGACGGGATCCGAATTGGGCCTAGGCCCAATTTACCAGTACTCTCTCGATGGGCTTGGGTCCCATCACATGCCCCTTTTTTCACAAGTCAAAAAATAAAAAAAAATTTGACTGTAGTCTTCCTCACATGCTTCCTTGAAGAGTTTTTCCTCTGTCATCTTTTCATTTTCTAACGAAGATTCTCCTATTGGGGAAGGCCCCAGAGTTTAACTTGTATTCGCTCCAGATGCTATTCCCCACAGTACGTCCTTGCGGGCCAGGATGTGTAATTGGTCGAGTGAACTGCTTGTGGCCACACACGGGTCTGTCCAATGGCTGCTTGGTCATGCGAACAGTCCCTGCGCACCAATAATGGTGGTCCGTTTGTAGAGGAATAAATTGGGCGTGGACTGTGTGCATGGGAAAAGGCACGAATGGACCGCTCGGAGTCTGTGCCACTTAAATATCCATGGCCCACTTTTCCAAATCCCTTTTGACCGGTTCCTCTAATTCCCTCAATTGCTGCGTAGGGCCGTTCTACTGCGCACAATTCAAGGTCACCACCCATCTATGATTGTGGGACCGTAACAAGAAAAAGGAAAGCAACAGAGGACCGCAGATCTGGGAAATCGGCAGAGTGGACCGTTTGGAGTTAGTGCTCCTGACCCGAGTCCAAGGTTGCAATTCTCTTTTCCAGGTGTCCCTTCACTGCCATTGGACCGTTTCGAAACAGGTGCCATTCAAAATTCTTACCGTTGCAAAGAGATATTGAGAGTGGACCGTTTCTTCTCCCTCTTCTTTTTCTCTATAAATATGGTCCCTCTCCCCTCTCCTTCTTCACGCTCACACGCAACTCTTCACTTCTCCTGCCTTTATCCCTACCGAATCATCCTCTCTTCTTCCCAAGACCTTTACTCTCGCTCACCATGAAGAAGACAATCTCCAAGGTTTCCAAGATCTTCAACGGCGGCAAGAAATCCAAGGAGGACGAGAATGTTTCCACCATCACTCCTGCGCAATTGGGGGAGATGAGGGGAGTCATTCCTCCTGATTATGGCGTCCAGGAAGCCACGAGTACTACTTTGGAGCGCAATCCTGACATCTCGCGCCGACTGGTCGTCCACTACGACTCGGTTAGGATGGGATGCCGCTTCCCTCTCCATCCCCTCTTGGTCGAACTTTGCAACCGCTACGCCATACCTCCCGGTCAGATTTCCTCAAACTCCCACGAGAGTCTTTTTGGCTTCTTGGCGCGGTGTCACAAGAGAGGCATCCAACCCACTCTGAAGCTCTTCCTCTCTTTCTTCCGTCCCCACAAGTATGCTGGCGAGTTGGGCTGGGGGTTCGTGAGCTTCACGGCCCGGACCGATATGCAGTTTTTGGATAGCCCGGTCGACAAACTTGACGATTGGTTCCGCCGCTTCTTCGTGGTGGTAGTTCCCGAAGATCTTCCCTTCCCCAACATGTGGCGGAAGAAGGAAGATAAGTTCCCTTCTCACCTTTTTCCCCCTCGCGACTCAGAGCTCGAGGGGGTCTTCCGTCTTCTTCGCAAGAACGGCCATCCGGTCCCCCGCGCGCTCCTCCTCAAGGACTCGTATTTTCGGGGTCTCGGATTCTGGGTGTCTCCCGATATTCCTCCTCAAGAGCCGTTGGGAGACACAACTTCCTCTTGGGTTCCTCCTTTCAGGAGCACTCGACTCCGTCGGCGATCTTCTCGAAGGAATCCTTCCCCGGAGGAGCACACCGAGGGCGAGGAAGTAGGGTCCGCGACGGGGGCCCTATCTCTGGCGCTTGCCCACCAACCTTCCCTTTCGGAAGAGGTGGGGGTTGAGGAAGTCTCCGAAGATGATGGCCTCTACGACTTCCCTCCAGGGACCCTGAGGGTGTCCGGCCTTATCCCCGGCGTTCCTCACACTCCTCTCTTTGGCAGGGGAACTTCTTCTTCGCCTCAGCCCATGGGCCCACTAGGTTTCCACCTGATAAGTCATTTTTGGGTTAGTTCTTTTTATTCTTTTTTAGGCATTTTTAATATTTTTAGAGTTTAATTTTTAGTTGTTTAGCTTAGTTTTATTTTAATTCTTATTTTTAAATTCTTTTTATTTTCTTTCAAAAATATTATCTTTTTAATCATTTTTACATTATATTATTTTTATTTTATTTTTCCTAACCCAAATTATCAGATATCTTATTTTTGGAGAAAATTGCAGCAAAAGGCCGAATTGAAGTTCAAGTTTGAAATGAAGAGATTGATTTTGGGCCAAAGCCTAGAACAAACATAATAGAGAATCAGCCCACCAAGCATCTCACTTTGTCTTCACGCAAGAAAAAGTGAGAATTGAAGTCTACGACTTCTTTGCGATAAACCAGCGCCG